AACTGTAACAATTTAGGCTGCCAGAAAAAAAGCATTTAAACAAAACTTTGGACAAATTTGAATAGAAAAAATATATACTGAACATCTCTTGAAATTAAAAAGTATTCTATCATTATTATTATTGTTTTTCTGTAATATTAACAATATCCATCCATTTTCCATACTGGCAATTAATGTTATTATTTATAACAATTTACACAATTACGTATTAATTGATAATTGACTTAGTTAAGTGCATAAATGAATTACAATGTACTTTCATGATGATGATTGATTTTTGTATTTTGTAAGTTATAATTTGTATAAAGTTAAGCTGAACAAGAAAAATTTTTGAATAAAATTCTTTACCATATAAAAAGTGTTTATTTCTGAACGGCAAAGCAATTAAATTTGCAATAAATAAGTAAGTGGCTTTTTATTTTGTAAACAGAAGTACTTTTTTTAAGGATTGCGATTTTTAACTTTAAAAAAATACAGGTGATGATTGATTTTGTTTTTTCGTTTATGCACGAAAGGCATTTTATTTCAATAATTTTTTCAGTATTTATAAAATAAATGGTCGACCTATCAGAAAAAATTATAAATCAAAGCGAGGAAATTATTTTAATTTCGAATTTGATTATTTACATCTATTTGAAAGCAATTTGCTTGCTGTTAATTAACAACTACAGAATATATTGCCGCCAGCGAAAGTCAAAGGACTCAGTCAACATTTAGCTTGTTGAATGAAATGTCAAAATTACGACAAGTAAATTGAAATTGCAGTTAAGACTGCCGGCGAAATTTCGCTGAAGTGAAACTAAGAAAAGCTTAGCACGACAACGTCAATTACACTAAATAATAGCGCACTTCTGATCCGATCTCCAAAGGCAAAAACGATAATCATGTCGCATTATTCATAGCCGCATTGCCGCTTATATATTTTAGCTAATACCGAAAAAGAGGGCAAATAATAATAATAAAATATGGCAAAGTTTTGCAGTTGACTTGGCTCTGTCTGCTGGCAGATTTTGGTATCTGGCTGTGGCTGCTTGTCAGTCAGTCAGTCAGTCAACTGCTCGGCACTGCTGAGGCTCCCTCAACTTTTTCTGACATTTCAATTTATAAAGCTCAAAATCTGCGCGTTACCCGAAGCGTCGCATTTTACATTAGACAAAAACAGAGCGAGTCTCGTATATTTTATTTTTGCCATTTCTAGGGGATCCCACTTTTTTTGGTTTTTTTGCACAGTCCGCCGCGACAGCTTAAAAGTAAAATACAATTTTGCAGTTTTTTTCCTATGTTCCTTGCCGAAGGCACTACATTGAAATTGACTTGAGGGGGAGTGAATAAAATGAAGTTTTCAAGGCTGGTACAATGCACTCTCAACGAAATTGCAGATTGGGCACTATTTTATACCTGTGGGCAGGAAACAAAAAATAATTATGGTACTCTTTTTTTAAAGCGTAAGTATAGTATAAAAAACTAAAATTACTTATCTATTTAAATAAATATAGAAGTTGCATCGGCTTACCAGTGTTATGTATTTCGTGGACCACGCATTTTGCTTATTACATAATCCGGCTCAGATATCAGCGGCGCATTAATTTCCTTTAATTAGTTTGCCCTTTGCTGACTATAAACCAAATTTGAGGGCCCACGTCCTCCACCTCAAATTGCAAATTAATAAACAATGTCGCAGGCATTGATTCAATTACCAGTTAACCTACGCCGACCATAAATATGCACGCAGCTCCAGTTTATTGTCCACTAACTAACCAAATGCGAATAACTCCGTCGAGTCGGAATCCAGATTGCAATTTCCTCCAATCTGCATACAAATTCAACAACTACTAGTGCGAAGTTTCTGCAAGCCAAAAACAATAATGGCAACAAAAACAGTCATTAGGTAAACACACAAAACGGAGGTGGGGAAGAAAATCTAGAAGGCGGACAAAGTCAAATAGAAATCAAACAAAAATCAAAAATCAAGAGTAGTGCAAACTCAGGGGACAACAGAGGAATAAACAAAACCCCCTAAAATATACAACACAAAATTTGTTACCGGTTCTTCTATCAGATGTTGGATCACCTGCTTGTTGGCAACATTGCGGTTGAGCAATGTGAAAATGGTATTCAGATAGAAAAATTCCATTCTGTTTAAAAAAGGGTTATAAATTAAAAACTCTATAATTGACTTTTTGATTTTTACTAATATTGAGTAAAAACCTTAAAAATATATATTTGACTTAAAAAATAAGATATTCCTAATTGAACATATTTTTTCATAAACACCTTTATTGATATATTTTATTTATTATTTGCAAAATTATAGAAATCCAAAAGAAATAAAATAATAGAAACACGTTGATTTCGTAAAAAATATTTATATTTTTTTCAATACCATTAAAAAACGCGCCAGCAAAGCAAGTCCTTAAAAGCTTTTTTTAATCAGCTGTTCAGGCGAGTCCTTATCGAAAGCTTGCAATACACAAAAACATTCTCTTTGCTGAATAAGGTTTAAGCTAAAGAGAAAATCGAAGAGAAATTGTGGATATTAAGCTTTCCCCTAAAATTTCTCTTAGTTTCAAAGCTTTTAAGAGTAGCGTACTACCAACTGAGATTTTTAAAGGCTTAAAGTGAGTAAATGGAGCTAAAAAAAATTACTAAACCATTTGGACAATTGTGACAATTACTGTGGCTGGCACACCAAATTGGATAAGCTCTTAAAGTTCTCTATAGCTTTTCTAAGAGCAGGTCGCACATATCCTAAAAAACGAGAAAGAGATATCACGCTGTAGAAATTCAAAGCCCGTAAAGGAACTGTGCCACTTGAGTAGTCAACAAGCTTTTCCCAGTGTCCTTCATAATTTGCACTGGTTGCCATTTGTTCGCCAGCAACAGGTCTGATTTGAAAATTTCCCATAAAATAGAGGAAGATATAACATCAATAAAATGAAAAAAAAAAAACATCTCTCTACCGCCGAATGTAAATTACCTAAACTTTTAGGTCATTTTTTAGCCCCTCTGAAATTACGCTTGATTGGCAAGAAAATGCGTAAATTAAAATACTTAAAATACAGTAAAATAACAAAGCGGAAAAAGGGTAACAGAAAAAAGTAGACCACATAAAAACCGCAAAAAAATCAACAAACTTTTGTTCTTCTGCCTCGCAAAGGGCAACAGGGCGTATACTTAATTATTATTCGAGCTGTTGATATTCCCTCTTCCCCCATTTTTTATATTAAATATTGTGGTTTCAATAAAAGCAAAATAAAAGACGAAGTGTTTTGCAGAAAGGACACAATTAATTACTGCTTGGCGGAAAAAATCGCAGAGAAAAATCAAGAAACAGTCGTTCACCAACTGTGCAACAAGTTAAACTTTTCTGGCAAGTTTGGTCAGTGAAAATGTATTATATATATGTAAATACTTGCGAAAAAAAGGGAAAGCATAAAATTGTTGGAAAAGGTTTCAAATAAACTTTTTCCTTTTGGACTAGCACCTGGCGAGGTGGGAATAAGTTTAATGGTTTTGATTGAAGAACTTGTTGCCTGTCAATGAAGAAAATTTGAGTGGTTCTCGATTTTTTGGCAAATATGAGGAACCAGGTATAAATATTTATGTATTGAAAAAGTATGCACATATCACTTAGATATTTGCTGGAATTATATAAAATATTTATTCTTTTTGTACAATAAACTGAGAGAAAATATGCGTTAAATTTTCATTGAAAAAATCTTTACAAAAATATTTGCTGGCCTTCTGTTTTTGAGCTTTATAACAACGCAATTTCTAGACTCAGTCGAATTTGAAGTAAAAGCGAATTTAATTCGCATAATCCGAGCCCATCGTTCACCTCGACTGACATATTCGTTAGCCATTCGGAAAAACCCTTTCCATTATTCGCTCTCTGTGTGCGTCGCCTACTCATTTCATGGAACATTAAATATTTATACCCAAAAATGTTTGACCTCCATAGGTCCACCGCATATTTGTGGCTTTTGGGAGGTTTTTTTTACGAACTTGTTTTTATTTTATTCACATGCAAATGTCGAGTGTTAGTCAAGTGCACGGAATATTATGTACATTTTTGAGGTTGGTAAAAAAAGTATTTATAATGAACTCGCAATCTCGTGAAAAGCGGGCCACAAATCTAGAGCAGTTTAAACTGGGGTTCCGAGTGGGTCAAATGATTTTTGCCCAGCTCTGCGGCCATTTTCAGTGACATTCAATTTTGAAAATGCTCTCGTTGCTGCGGCTTTCAGCGCGGAAATTGAAAATGTTTTGCTGTCTCACACACAAAACTGAAATGCGGCAAGACATTGTTGGGGGGACGTCGGTTAAACCATTTTGTTTGCTGATTTCCTCCCCTGCCGTTCGCAACTTTTATGCTGCCATTATAATTAGGCTCAAATTGCTGCACTTTGCTTTGCATTTTAATTACTCAACAACAGCTCGAGAGGAAGAAAGGCATCTCGGAAATGTTGCACAATTTAAGCGAGAGTGAAAGCGAAAAGGAAAACGGCACGGAGGGAGCATCGCTAACAAGTTGCTGCCTCGCTGCCTTGTCATGGGTTGCCTGTCCTTCTGTCCCGCTGTCACTCCCCCAAAATCCTTGCCTCGCCCACCCACGACCACCCTCTGCCCCCAGCCCACAGCCCCCTGCCACGCCCCCATCGCCCACAGCGCGACAGTCGTCAGTGTGGCATTTCAAGCAAAGTATTTAATTTCCACATCATACACACGGCCGCCCAGGCAAACAATGAGGGGCGAAAACATAAAATGTGTGCCAAGGCGAAGGCTGCTGGCTGATGGTCCATTCAACTCATCTGAAGACGAGCACTGGTCGAAAAAAACCCATCTCAGGAGTTACTCTATAAATTCTATCTATCTTCTGGTTTTTAATGAGTAATTAATTACAATTAATAAACAATTACAATTTCGCCAGACTCTCTATCCACCAAAAAAAAAACTAACTAAGAATAAAGCAGAAAAAAAAAATTAATAAAACAAAAAACTTAGGTTATTCTCAAAGTGCATTCCAAAAAAGTAGTATTCTACAATCGTAAAACTAAAGGTAACCGAAACTAGCTAAGCAAAAAAAGCATGCCCACTTTTTTGTACACTTTTGGTTTTTCGTTACATCATAAGAAGATAAATCACAATCTTCTAACAGCTTAAATTGTTCGTTTTTATCGTTTTTTAGTAGTTCTAGCATACGTCTTTTTACATGCACTCGCGCAATCTTTATATTCTTTAAAATTGTTGGCGTTGTTGCCACATCCACTGTAAGAAAAGCGGACACATTTATTGGTACGGTAATCGTAAAAGTATCTGTCAACACGACCAACACAGGGTCCTTTAACCATAGGCTCCAAGCATTTCTCTGGGTAAAAAAAATAATACTGTTAAAATTAAATGCAAGTTAAAAATACTTAATTTAAAAAATCCTATTTTTGGTAAATCATTTCTTATGCTTCATAAGCGGAAAACTAATGTTATACATTTAATGTTGATAAGACTTACGACTTTTCTGCAATCCGAGACAATAACAGAAGAGAACCAATATAAAGACGATAACTAAAAACTTCATATTCAGTTTATATTCGAAGCGTTAATGACAGCAGCTAGTCAATTGAGTTATAACTAAAAATATATGTGTGAATAACGTTTAATATCTATCCCTAATGGTATTTGTTCTAGCTTAATATGCCATCACAGAAAATAAAAAAATCATGCCCTACCTTTTGTTTTTCAGTACATCATAAGAAGCTAAATGTCACATTTTGTCTTGTGTCTAAAATTGAAAGGTCTTGGTTTTTATTTGGAAGTATATTTTGTAAATATTATTTAAATTTTATAGAGATTTTATCTACCCTTTGATACATGTTTTTATACAATCTTTAACGTCTTTAAAATTGTTTGCGTTGCTTCCACATCCACTGTAAGAGAAAGTTTTACACTTTTTGCTTTTGTAATCGAAATAGTATCTTTCATCACGGCCAGTGCAAGGTCCTCTAAGAACCGGCTCCAAGCATTTGCCTGTTAAAAAAATGTTGCTTTTAATGTTAAATAAAAAATTATTATCTAAATAAAAACCACAGTTTCGTAATTTTTATAACATTATTGGTGGTTTTTATAATAAGACTTACGACTTCTCTGCCATCCGAGACAAGAATTTAAGAAAAACATTATAAAGAAGATAATAATTAACTTTATATTCATTTTACTTTCCAAGTATTGATGACAACTGCAAGTCAAACGAGTTACTACCGGAAAAATATATTTGACTAACAGTTTTATAATACCTTTCGCTAATGGTATTTGTTCTAGATTAATTTACACATTAATAAAACCTTATGGTTTAATGCTTATAAATTTTCAGGTTATTTATCTTTTCGGTTCTTTTTCGTTTTCCGTTTTGGTATTTTTTTATTGACACATGTTGACTTACAGCTCTCGTAAGAAATAAACCTATTTGCATTGCCACCACAGCCACCATACATAAACGGCATACACGTGTTTATAAGAGCACTATAGAAGAATCGTTTGCTCGAGGGTTGACAACTACCAGGATTTAAATTAAGACTGCATCTGCTCCTCGCTAAAAACAGATAAGCTTCAATTAATATAATGTAAATATTTATATAATGTACTACCCACCGCTTTCTACACCAAAAATAATTATAGAAATTAGAATGAAGGCAAAAAAAAATTGCTTCATATTCACGTTTTCTTTCGGGAAATTGTGTGTGCGTTCGTTTTTGAATTACGTAAAGACTGGGAGCTGTAAACCTAAAACTAAAAAAAAAATTACTACAATGTGTGTCTAATATCCGTGAATAATTAATGATATTACACCGTGTTATTGATATAAGAAGTTGTGAGTTTTTTTTAGCAAGTTGCTTGATATTCATAAGACGAATTTAATTTGCTTTACTGACAGAAGGAAATATTTTCTGAGCTCGTCTTTTCGCACTATTCAATACTGTGTACCTGATTCATATGCTGTCGCTCGGCTTCCTCGCTTTATCCATTTTATTGGTTTAATTTTGTCACGTTTCGAGCGGAGAAAGTGCCGGAGAAAGGGAAAAAGGGCAGACTGACAGGCAAGTAAAAGGTTCTTGCAAATCATTTCCATTTCAGTTTCCTTTTCTTTTGCCTCTGCGAATAAATATAAATAGCAAAATTTACCATTTTGTGCAGCGACTTTCGAAAGTTTTCAGCGAAAGTTTTCGTTTGCCGAAGGTTGTTTTTTTTTTTGTGTTTTTATTTTTCTTTTTTGGCTGCGAAACTGTTTTTCTCAGGGATTCAAATCAATTTTCAGTGCGACTTACACCCTTAAAGCTGCTGATGATTTAAGGATTTGTCTGCATTATAACGCATTTCCTTTATATGAGAAGGTGGTGAGGCGAGGTCAGGTGGAAAATTCAAGGGGGAAAAGGGCAAATGTCGCCGTTGACCCGCTGCCAAGTCAATAAATTCTCATTGCCTAAGCCATAAATCAGCATCATGGCGCGCTAAGTGTCATTTTTTGTGACGTTCGGATGGCTTTTTACCTGGCCAAACAACAGGGGCGGTTTCAATGCGAGATGGAGTGGGAAACATTGAGAGGGGTTCTCAAACACTTGAAGAAACCCAGAAATATTGTGTTTTCTTACAACTTTCTTTAAGAAAACCTTCAGGTGGGGTGCATAGATATACAGATACATAACAGATATTTGTTTTCATGAAACGGCAACTTATTGGACTAAAAATTCCTAACAAATCTAAAAATCTTCCAATTCAATAAATCATTTTTTCTTTAAAAATAATATCTCTACATTTTTAAATGTTATTTTTTGCGCAATCAAACCAAAATGATTTCTAGTGTAGATTGGCGGAGAATTGGATCTGCTACTGGCAGCTTCACAATGCGCGTTATAATTTACACCTGGCGAAAAGCGAACGGCAGCACCAGCCAACAACCTCAACCAACTACAACTGTCATTTGACCTTAACCAGACTTCTGATTGGGGAGAGGGGGACAAAAAACGGAAGGGGGGAAAACAGGAAAACTTCAGTGGGTGGAAAGGTAATCTTTGTTGCGGTTGCGGTTGGCTGCAGAGCTGTTCAGGGTGTTATATAGTGCCGTGTTATATATTTTACTCAAAAGTGCAATTGCTTGATTTGGAATTTGTCAACTGACAGAGTGGAATCGAAAGGCCGATAGTTAAAGTGAAAAAGACATATTGGGGGCTTAACTCAGCTTTTCTGCTAATGAATGCCTCTCAACCTCTTGCAAATCGGTTGAGAGTAATTTATAAACGATAAATGATACTAAAATATAAAATGATTTGCACAACTCGGACAAGTTAAAATAAGAGAAGAAACTACTTTTTATTGCCTTCATTTAACCTCAAAGTTGACTGAATGGCCTCAAGTTTTCAAGTTCTTTGTCTACTTTTCGTTCCGGAAATCGATGGACTGTAAAAGGACTAATAAAATGTTCCAATTAAACCCAATGCGATCAATAAAGGACACAGTCGCTGGCAACTTAAAGCTTTACGCTTATTGAAAGCCCATCTATCTGGCTCTTACTGGCAGTCCTCCACCTCCGGCAACACCCCCTCACCCCCTCAGAGCCCCATACATCCATCCTCCTATTACTCCAGGCAGCTGCGTTGATTGCCGTAACAGCTTTTGAAATTAAGTCGCTGCAAGTCGACTATAGTTAAGGATAAGGGGGTGGGGTAAAAGGGGAACGAATTCAGGGCCGGGGGACAGGACATTCCCAGCAAGACGGAATGAGGCTGCGAGCAAGTTCAAGCCACACAGAAAAAATAAAGGGACGAAATTCGGCATCTCCTTTGATATACATGACTACTCTGAATTTTTTTAAATAAATGTATATTTCAATTTCAAGGCTCAATGTTTGCTATTCCTAAGATATTTTGAGCTAAAGATAGTCATAAATACACATTGTCAGCTAACGAAATAAAATAGTTAATCTGCAATAAAAAGAGTTTAAAGGAAATTACTGAAAACATATTGTGGTAAGCCTGCTGAAAATATTTTAAGCCGTTAAGTCATCCTACTAATTGTATAAATTGCATAAAAAAATTTAAAATATATTTGAAGACATTATACACAGCAGAGGGGCCTCACAAAATATTTGAAGTTTCGGTGCAGGGCCACACACTCGCACAATTGACGCAATTGCAGCGATACTTTGATTTTATTTCATTTGCCGGCAACATCTGAGGGTATGCCATGGGTGTCACGGGTCGGAAAATGAAGGAGGAGGGGCTAGGGGGTAGGGGTCTGCGGAAGCCCAATGGGGGGAAGAGTATAAAATGCAGGCACCAGAGGAAGAGATGAAGAGCCAACCGGCGAAACAGTTGCCAATAAAAATTGCATTGAAAACGCTTAACCAAGCAGCGTGCATCAAATTGATTTCATGCTCCTCCAACGTTGACTGTAGTTTTACAACGTGCATCATCCTCACTCGCCCAGATAGTGGGAGCCCCAAAAAAAATATGCTACGCTTTTTTCCCGAGTCGCACAAAAATATTGTCTGTCAATATTCGAATACCGCACATCGCAATCCACACCACCCAACCCCGAAAACGTAGCGAGTGCAACCCAAAAACCATTGAGGACCGAACGGTAACGAAATGTAATTTTTGTTTTCCCACCCAGCGCCCAACCAACCCATCAAAAGCGATGAAGCAAAATAAATGAAAACAAGACTAAAACTCCAGAATGGCTGCAACAAAACTACGAATTGTGTTTGCTCTGGTCGAACCAATTACTTGGAAACTTTAATTGTAAATAGGAAAAGCTGTATGAAACATATTCTATACAAATTATTTTTTTTATGTGCAAAATAATACCAACTCAAAAAATGTCATTGTACTTTTAAGTGTAAATAACAATACGGTTTTACTATAATAAATAAAATGTGGTGTTTATTTTATAAATTACTGTGTTTTGATTGAAAAACATAATTTAATAAAAGCCCTAGGAAAACTAATTTTTTTTATTTTATTTATTATAATTTTATATTTTATTGTTTACAGTCAAAAAATTAGATCTGTGTTGTTTTTCTGAGCTTAAGAGCATTACATTAGAATATCAATTAGGGTACTTCCCAATCCTTACTTTTAATGGGTTTTAAGTCACTAGTCGCCTGCTATTAATACAATAGAATGTAACTATTTTCAGCTATGTGCGAGAATTGCATACGGAAGTGTTTTTCCAAATGTTAGTGTATTTAAGAGTGGAAAGCAAAAGTGGCATGCGTGAAAACGTGAAAATTGCCGCCACTGTTTTCGATTTTTACGCTCAATCCCTCAATCAGCACACGAACTTCACACCCCTCCTGCATCCACAGCTCGATCAACCAATTCACGGCGCCAAAGAGGGAATCCAGTTATCCTGGCATTGGGAATGGCGCATGCCTTTAAACTTGTTATTTCAAGGATATGCACAGCATTCTGGTTGCGAACCAAGAAGCAGACAGGAGCTGAGCCCCAAAAATCTGACAATCGCGGCTTTGGCAACAATTTTGCAGTGTTGTTGCCAGATTTCTTTATCTGCACATAAGCATCGAATAAGAATGAACTACATATATACACTGGGGGTCAAAATAGTAGGGGACTTAATAAAAAAAAAAACAAAATTATTTTCTAATCAGTTGGCTCGAGAAATGAAACTTAAAAAGTTGAATGGACAAAGGCACTATTATTTTAAAATTTCTAAGAATATTCGTAAGACTGCTTTAACGAATAACTTTTTTCTTAAATTCTAGTCAAGCCAATATTTTCTCTTTTGGCAAGTACACGTGTGTACAAACAACCTCGTGTAGCGTCTATCTATTCAATTTGCAACTCAGCATTGTTTGGCATGTTTAGCAGCTCACTGAGCAATTTGCAATGCTATGCCAAAACCAAAGCAGTTGCCAATTGCAATGTGAAACTCGGCGAAAAAAAATGCGATTGATACAAGGCTAAGGATCAACCGAAAGCACTTAAGTATTTATGGGAAAATATTTAATATGCTCGTCCAAGGGATAAAGGTTGTTAAGCTGGAGGATGCCATTCCATCGCTTTTTGGCTAATCCATTGTTTTCAAGTGCATTCTACCTTCATAAAATTTCATGTTTATGAGAGGCATAATATCTTATGTGCATCGAAATGCAACGCAGCTGGAAACAAAGTGCAGCTCGGCATTTTCACTTCGGGAAGTATGTGACTTTTGCCAAAGTACTTAGGTGAAGTAGAAAACATTAAAACTAAATGGGCGAACAAGCTGTCATTATTGTTTGTATTTGCTTTTTCAATGGGCAAGCAAACAAGTATTGTTAATATTAAAAATATGGTAGGTATAAAT